TCGTTATTCTTTGGCAACTGCTTATAGATGACTCAGTTTCTCAAAAACTGGACAGAAGGAATAATATAATAAAATTCCCTGTATTCAAGGAATCCTCTAATTAGAAGCAGCGATGACTTAGAGAAAAAAAATCTGATTTCAATATAACATCTGCAAATGACAGATGCCTGCTCAGATAGTCATCAGTGTCATTCCTTTATTAAAAACAGTGTTAGTAATGACAATAAGTTACCAAAACAGAAAATAACGGTCATCCATCTAATCACTTGTTTTAGTAAATTCTGGTCATTTGTTAATTTCAGTTATCTTTTCTAAATAAATAGTTCTTTGCATATTCAGAAGTTAACAATTTACTCTCGAAAAGGTCATCTGATTGGGACTGACATAACTATTTAACAACACTGCACATTTGAAAAAAAAAAAAAGAAATTTATATTACTATGTTGCAAAGGTCACACGAGTAAACTTAAAAGATTTCCTTCCTGACACGGAGTTGATACCGGGCGCCTCTTGGCCTCAGTGTGCAAATGCCCTCAGGACTTCAGGCACACGAGACTTCCACCAGCACTTCTGGGAACATGCTTCAGGCCAAGGCCCTGGGCTAGAAGTCATGTGAAGAGGAAGACGTGCTAGTGTGCACGTGTGCAATCTCTCCTTCTCTCTCACACACATACACACACACACACAGGCTCACAACAGCTGCTGAAGCTGCAAGAGAGCCAGACACTACCAATGATAGCACCCTGGTGACAGCGTAACCTTAGTAAAGGCATGGGCATCTAGGACAAAAGAATCCAAGAAAAGCACTTGGAGTCCCTGAAAGGACGTTAGAGAAGCCTTGGTTCCCGGCTTGAGTTTTATAACCGAGGAAGCTGAGGTCCAAAGAAGTCAAGAGACCTGCCTGAGATACCCACGTACTTGTGACAGACTAGGTACCACGTGCTGTCCCAGTAATCTCTGCTTCCTACATGGCTCCAAAATGTCAATTTCCCTCTCACGCCTATGGCGCCCAAGGCTGTGACTAAAACGCATGTTTTTCATTTACAAACATAACACCCTGGCTAAGGCAGGAGGAGGAAGGACCCTTGGCCGAAACGCCCCTTGTCTCAGCTGCTCCTGGTCAGGGCTGCTCTGGCACATCTACCCTTTGGTCAAGCTGTCACCAGCCAATCACTAATGTGCCTGAAATAAACATGTCCAAAGCATTCAAGTTTATCTTAACAAATTCTAAGGGCAAGCACTTTGAACCCTGATGTGTGACTCTCTGGTTACTGGAAGAGGTTCAGGACACGGGCCTTGCTATACTGTGCAGGATAGATGGAGCACTTTTCTGAAAACAAATGGGGCCTTCCCACAAACCCCTTAAATCACCCACATTTGCTCTCTCTGCAGCTCCTTCCATGACGGCTGACTGAGGAGTACAAGTAGGAAAAAACCTAAGTCTGACAATAACACATTTCTTTTCTATGTCCAAAAGACTATTGTGTCAATATTTATTGAGGTAGACTTATTTTAAAAGTAATTTAACAATGAAATGATGTGCTAAGCACACTGATTTTTTTTTTTCCTTTTTTATTTAATGGAAAAAGAAGGAAAAAAAGAAGTTCAATACAAAGCTCAAGAAGTGACGGGCCCCCTCAGATGGGAGGGTTTTCTGTACTCACACAAACACACACTTCTTCCACATACCATTCGCGAATGCTGTGTATTATTAAGAGGAGGCGGATTCTGCCAGGCACATAATTTGTATATTTAAGGGAGGTGTATGGAATGGAAAAGCGAAATATGTTAAATTTCAAAGGACTTGGAAGCGATGCTGTCTGTGAGCTTGTATTACAAATAGCCCTACATTATTACATACGCTATTAATGAGGCGGAGTGAATGAAAGTACAATTTGAATATGCATGACTCTATCCAATGAGCAGGACTTTTGTGTACTGATGAGGTTTTTTTTTTTTTTTCCTCCCCTTCCTAAAAAAGATTATAATTATTCTTAGAGAAGTATGGTTGTCCGGAGACCAGTAAAATAAATGTATTTAGACCACGGAGTTATACTATATTCTGACGAAATATACAGGTGCTAAAAGAATGCTTTTGACGCCACCCATCATTTCTGAAACTTGTGCATTTCCCATCCTTCCAAAAAGGAACATTTCTCAACTTCAGGCAGCTGCGTCATTACAATATCTGAGCAAAAATAACGATTTTGGTGGAGATCCCTAAAAGTAGGCAAGGTTAAATAAACCTTTTGATTACAAAGCCTTCGCTTCCATAGTAAGAGCACTAGTTAAAAGACTGGGGAATGGGTAAATTATTGCACCAAATGGCTGAGAATTAATCTCTGCTGACTAGCTGTAATCTAACGAGGCGTCTGTGTCCCAGGGAGCCCGCAGCATGTCCCTGGCGGTATGTGCAGTGTGTCGAGTCTGCGTGGCACCCTTTGTCCTCGCTCACAGGCGGCCTTTCCCCTCATTGTCCGTAATATCCTCATGCATCTGGGACGCGTGGAATGCATTCATACTAACAGACTTACCATTGTTTTCTCTCAGAAGCTTTGTTGAGCAAAGACTGCATCACGGTTACTGATAATTGTATTGCTTAATTAATCAAGACAAAAAAAATTTGCAAATCATTGCCTGGTTGCCAAGCACGGAGATAAAAAATGACAACAATACAAGCTGAAGCAATATAACAAAAGTAACAGCTATCTGATCAGAAATTCTTATATAATGAAGCTATTAATGCTAAATCGGTTAATGTTAACATTGCTCCAGGTGTCTCTACTTAGATGCAAACAAAAAGGCTAACATTATGGATATAAAAGGCCAAATGTTGCCATGGATTCTGTAACCTGATAGAGAGGACAGCCTTTCATTTGATTAGGGAATGCAATTTAAATACCAGGGACCCAAGCCAAACAAACAGACTTTCCCTCCGCAAGCCTCTTGCATTCACCCTGGGGTCAGTGGTTGGTGAACAAAAGGTCAGCCACACTTGCCCTGGAAATGTCTGGATTAATTTTATTACATTGTAATGGTTTGTACTTTAAATGTAGGGATAACACTGAATTTCCAGTTGGCCATTATTCTTTCCTTTAGGCTTTTTGAATTCAAATATTAAGAAAGTGATTTGCTCAATTCATCTTGTCAGAATTTATGGTCATTTTATAAAGCTTACACATATATTATAAGAAATTTAAAAATGTATATTAATGATTGCTTTCATGACTACCTTTTACAAAACCACTTTGACTCTATATAGTGAACTGAAATGCCTTTCATGATCTTTATTTCCTTTCAAAATAAAGGCAACATTTTTAGGACATTAAATGGCATTTTAGAAGGCATGTTGAAAATGAATGAATAAAGCCAGTTAATCCATACTAAATATAAAAGAAACCCATGTTCTAGTTTTGAAAGCTATGAGATACTAATTTCTTAGATCTCTAATATTAAGATTTTCCATTTTAATTCTTAAAATTAAAGTAAAAATAAGGTTCTTCATGGATAATACAAATGTTAGCACTAAGAGCCCTTTTATTAAATAAAATTGAAAAGTTCACATATGTGGAGATCTGAATCAAAGATAATACAAATATTTAATATGAAGTAACTTTTGGTCTCGTAACTGCCTGAAAAGAAAAGAGGGTTTGCTTTTTGTCAGGCTATGTACCAGCCAGGGTGGGACTTCCCAGATTCAAGAACTGAACCACATGTGTCTAGTCTGAGAATTCATAAACATATTAAACTTGGCATTATTTGTTCAATTTCTATGGAAGCAACTATAACCAAAAAGAAAAAAATAGTAGCAATAAAAATATCTAATACTTAAGTAGCTTGTCCTCTGGGTCAGGCATTGTTTGAAACACTTTTCATTTATTTGCTCATTTCATCCTTATAACTTTAACACTTTAGATTACATTATAAATCCCACTTTACACAATACATCTCAGTTTCCTATTATTTTAAAGCTTGTAAACAGTTTTTAGAATTGTAACTTTCAGCCCCTTCAGGATTCAGAATGAAAGGAAAATGGTATTTAATATCAATCTGAAAAACAGTCATTCTTCTCAAGGAGTGGCTTAATATGCTAAATGCTTCATTAAAAAACTTTTAATAAACCCCTTTCAATTAGTGATTCCAAAGCAAAAACAAGCCACTATCTAAAGCCCTGCTAAAACACCACTAAAGGCATGACAAGAATCGAAACTGTAGCCAATTCACTACGCAACACAAAGACCATTGGATTGTTCCAACCATCCCTGCGATCAATACCCATTGACATGGCTGAATTGATTCTGTGGCAAGATGCTTCGACTGTTAACCATCATGCGGTCTGTGCTCCAGAGGCCCAGCCTCTTCATGGCCATGCCCACAATCCTTCAGGACTGTCCTTCCTTTGCACCAGTGAGAGGCTCAGCGAGCATGGTCCAACCATCAGGCTAGGATGGATGCTAACCTCACAGTTATCCACAAAATGCTACATGGGAAATGGAGCTCTTTCCACTTCTATTATTAATCAATATGACCCAAAACTAAACTGAAAATGTTTTTAATTACAAAATTTAAAAAATCTAAAATATTTTTAATAGCATACATTTCTTGCTCATTTTCATTTTTTAAAAAACATTAAAAAAATTATTTTATTTAACTTTATTTGTTTATTTTAATTTGACCAAAGAGGGACAAAGTAAGAGAGAAAAAAAGAAAGCCGCTAGGTCTGAGACTCGAACCACAGTTGGCCATGTCGGGGTCCAGTGTGCTTAACCATCATGCCACCTGCCGGGCATTTTAATTTTCAAAGAGGCCAAGTAATGCAATATGGACATTTGTGCTCATGGAAGATTCTCCGAAAATCTCAATTTATATTTCATTCCTATATAGCATGTGAGATTTTGATATACAGAAGACATTCACCAGTTGGGAAAGAGTCCTTTTTCAGTACGGGAATTAAATGCAATTGCTGTCTGAGTTGGAACAACAACGTGGTGAAAACATACCTCGGGTTTCTTCGTTATCGCGATAAAGAACATGTGATTCTTCATTGGGTAAATAATGATTGAAACGTCTCCAAAGGCAGTTGGGATGATGCCCCTGCGATAGTCCCTGGAGTGTTCAGACCAGACGATGTGGACCTCGTCATTTCCCAAGTGACGGAGCTGCAACAGCAAATTGGCTTTTTATTAATCAGGGCAATAATAGCAGTTTATGAAGGGTCATGGCTGATAAATTGAATTATAAAATTCAGAGGCAAAAATATTCCACTACCAAAAAAGGCTGAAATACCAATGTCTCCTAAGAACGTTTTTAAAAAACACAAGGGAACAACAACACAGCTTGTCTTCTGCAGAAACACATCAGTACTAAGATGGTCCAGGCAAACATGGTGGGTGTGTCGTGGCTGGCTGGGGCCAAGACTGTTCAAGGGCTTTTTTTTCAATGGAGTTTTCTTTCTGTATTAGTTTTATGCTTTATGTTGCTGAACATGTTTCTAAGCAGTTAACAACATGAGGGTTTTAAAAATTATTTATTTATTTATTTATTATTATTATTTTAAAAATTTGCTACAGGGCACGTGCACTCACCACAGAGAGATGAAGAGAGAAAGAGCAGGAAAGTGAGAAACAGGCCATCAGGTCCCAGACTCAAACCACAATTGGCCATGTGGGAGTCCAGCACTGCTAGACCCAACACAAGTCTTTCATTCCATATTTCAGTAGTACTTCATAAGACTCAGTTCAATGGTTATTAAGAATATAAGAAACATAAGCCATCATAACACAGTTGTTACCAAATGTCTAGGAAACTAGACTTGTGACAAACTTTAACCAAAAAAATATAAAATTACATGTGTTTGAGAAATGGATAAATACTACTTAAAACTCTTAATAACACTAGTACCTAGCAGTTTAGAGTGCCTTAATGTTTAGAAAGTATATTCATAATACCATCCTGTTTAATCTTCCCACTCTCTGAGGAAGATTATATTGCTTTTATCTTATTTTTTATTTTTACTTTTTTTAGATTTTTGCCATAGGGCATGTGCACTTGCTGGAAAGAGTCAGAGGGACAATGAAAAATTACTCCCCACCTCCATTCTACTCTTGGGATTTGGGGCACACATACCTGGCATGTTTTTCAAGCTACCAGGTCTAGGACTTAAACTGCTGAGTTGGCCATGTGGGATCTAGCCGCCTTGACCACCATGCCACCTGCTGGCCCTCCCCTTTTTTTTTTTTGCCATAGGGTACATATGCTTGTTGGGGACAGCCAGAGAGGGGGGAGGGAGTGAGAAATAATCCCCTGGGAGGGGGGGGGAGGTATGATCACACGAAATATTCTTTTTCTCTATGTTCCTATTGGGATTTTGGGAACACATACAAACCTGGTATGATTTTCAAGCTGCCAGGTCCAGGACTTGAGCTGTGGAATCAGTTATGTGGGACCCAGCACTTAACCACCATGCCACCTGCTGGCCCCACCTTTATATTTATTGTACATGGAGGAAATGGGGGCTCAGGAAGGCGAAGGCACTGTCTACCCAAGGGCGTATGAACACCACATCTGTGCCATTTCTCCCATTCTATGGCTATCTAAGTCATCACCTACTGGCATCGCTCAAATGGTTCTGCCCACATTTTATCATTTTTATACACACAGAGTCATAAAATCCAAAAAACAAATCACAGACTCTTGGTCTCTTTGAGGAGGCCTTAGCAGGAAGGTCTCCAAGGTAGTACTCTTTGAGAGTACTGACCCTTTCAGGGCCAACCTCTGTTGCACACAAACATGCCCTCCGCAAATCTCCTGCATGATGACAGCACTGTTCCACGCTGGAGAAAGCTGCCTATGAAATTATTTGAGTAAACCTAAAAACATGAGTAAAAGAAACTAGATTTTAAAGATTAAAATGCTGGCCAGAATCGAAGGTCTGCAATTGCAGAGGCTGGCTGGTGCAGGCCTTGGGCACGTGCGGGGGCTGAGGGCAGCAGCAGCATGTTCTCTGTCACTGTGAGTAAGCAGCCCTTGCTTCCTTGCTTCCCCAAAGGAGGAACACTGAAAATGACTAGATTCTGAAATACTTCACTCGAACAGAGATGTCGTGTCAAAGCTAATGTTTTAGTTCTGTCTTAACAGACAGAAAACATGCTCTGGAATACTGTGTATTTGAAACATTTCAGCATATGTGGTTTTCTTCTAGGCTGTATGACCACACAGGGCAAGTCTGGGATGACCTCAACATGGCCTCCTTTCCATTTAGAAGGTGACAAAGGAAGCTGGTTTACTGTAACGCCTGCTCATTCTTCACTCTCTCATACTTCGGAGAATGACTGTCTCAATTATTTTTTAAAAAAGACTTGTACCTGTACTTTGTGCCTTTATTGAGGGGTGCACGACTCAGTTGTCTGCAGATGGGATCCAGGACAAATACAACTGTGGGTGCCGAGCACCAGTCACGATGATCCAGAACAAATCAACGGCACCAATGACTTTCTAAATGCAATACAAAATTGCCCAGGGTTTCTTTTCTCCCTGGTTTCTGCTCCCCCTAACCCCACTCACATATTAACGGCTAAAAGGACAGCAGGCAAAAGGGGTAACTAACCCACTGCACAGTTTTCAAAGAAAGCAACACTGGGCTCTTCTGGAGGACTGAACATCGCTGTTTCTGTTCCCCTCTGAGGTCCCACAGCTTTTCTTTCTCTTCTTTTTCCTTTGATACAACATACAGGGCCTTATAACAAACACCTGAAAGACGGTCTCTTTGGAGTGAAAGCGTGGTGGCTGGTATCACCAACAACCTAATGTAGAAATGTTTTCACAGGACATAGGATTACGACCTAATTTAGATGGGCAGAAGGAAATTGCAAGGACAGGGGCTGCCCCAGTGCTCACACCTGCAGGTCTTACCCTGCAAAGACCGCCCACCTCAGTGGTTCAGTATAACGCTGGCCTGAGTGTCTGAGTGGCAACAGCCCACCTACTGAACACCCTTCAAGGGTGCAGCTACTTCCTGTGGTAGCTTATTTTAATACACAGGAATAAGTTGCAAAGCATTGGCTCTGAGGTAATATGGTGATGACCTGAAATTGTGCAGTTTACTCTCCCTTTTCTAAATTGGGTTACTCAATTACATAACCCGAAGAAGTCTCTCCTAATTTTATTTGCAACTGTTTTCTCCGAACTACAACAAGTGAGAGTAGTATTGCACTAATAGACCCCTCCTCTCAGTGTGGCAAATCTATAATTAGGAAGAGCTATTTTTGTGTGGTAATAATGCAATATTCATTGTCTCAAAGCTGCTTTCAATGTCATATGCCTCAGACTTCTGGACATGTCACAATTCATTAGCTAAACCACAAAATTAAGCGCTAAGGCCACACGACCCATTGGCTGGTAAATGTGGAGCAAGAGCAGAAGCACACCCATCTCTGTCTATGATGGGAACATGGGCAGGTAAAATAAGTCAATTGATCTGAACAGCCCGTCAACCATTAGAATATTAATGGAGTACAGTGGAAACCTCAATGTTGGTGTTCAATTTCTTTTTAAGAGGTAGTGTGTGTGTGTGTGTGTGTGTGTGTGTGCACATGCACATATGAGACAAAGAAGAGAGGGAAACATCCTCAATAGGGTTTTGCCTCGCTGTGATCCGCCCTCCCAATCCTACGGTTCCTCAGGATCCAGGGTGCCTGTGCACACTCACCCGGTGTCTTCAGTCTGACCGAGGGTCTGAACTCACAGTCAGCCGTGTAGCTCCCAGCTTGCATGGGCCTTATGAAGGTGCCGACCGCTGTGCCACAGTGGCTGAGTCATGTTGCTCAGTTTAAAGGGGATTTCGTTATACAGTCATTTTATGAGTTTTGAACAATTCTGGTTAGAAGGACCCTCAAATGAGAAACCAGTCCGTGAGTGTGTACAGTGCACACCAGCTAAGTGGATCCGATTCTTACATAATCTGGGAGGAGACCGACGAGTCTTGTACCAGAAACCAAGCTGGCATTCATGTCAGCTATTGCTTCAACTACACAAGAGGCTCCAGGATGCCCAGATGCCTATCAGGCTTAGACAAATGCTCAGTTCTTAAGGCTTCAGAGACCAAGCCCATGTCCTGCCACTTCTCGTCCTGACAGTTCTAAAGTCCCTCCGCCTGAGCTATTCTGCCTGCTGCTGCCAGGCAGCACGCCACCGGTGACACTGGTCACGGTACACACCTAATAGGCTGACCTCCTTTCCCGACTAATTGCATTACATCGCCAGCTGGCTCCAGAAGGAGTCGTCTGTTTGATTGAAGAATTCCTGCTCCTCAGTGGGCCCGGCTGCTACTTTTACTAAGTAACAGTCAGGCCTGACATCCCCATTGTTCAGCTGACAGTGTGCCCATCCTAAAATCTAAGTTTTATTTGTAAATTAACCAAGAAACTTCCTGCCAGAACAGCGCTGCCTGGAGACTGATAATGTGGGCCTTTCATCCCTTTTCACTCACACTGTATCACTGCCAATTTGTTTTTTATGCGGCTGGCCAGCCTGAGGCTATAAAAGCCTTGTAAGACATAAGTGCAATTATAGTCCTGGAGTCAAATGAATTGGCCAAATCCAATAGCACAGCTCGGTCCCCACTCTGCAAACCCCTACAGCAGTTAGATTAGCTGTGAAAAATCTAATCTAGGTAGAGCTAACAAATTTCTGCAGTGAAGGATCAAGAGTTCAGTATGGGGTTGCGACCAGATTGCAGAATGGAAAAAGTCCCCCCATGACAGGGGCAGGAGAGAGCATGAATCACTTTAGAATTTTGCAGCTCATTTTTAAGCTGTTAGGGACAATTTAGTTAGAATACGACAAGGAACTGTGGGCTGCTGTTACTGTGACTGATTTTTTAGTCTAGCTGTGAGACATCCTGATAAAGAGAGTTTATCGCTAATGATGCTAAATCTCAGAGCTGCAAAAGGTATCAGCTGAATTGTGATTATTGCAGTAGGGAATCTTTCAACCAGGCAAAGCCTTCAAACACATTTATGGCGCGGCATTTCGTCAAGAAAACAGTACACCTTTTCTCGAAAAAACAAAAGACTATCCTACTTTACTTAAATAATTTTAAGAAGTATTTTATGTGCAAAATTTTTTTATATTTTACATATTTTTTCTTTTATGAGACATGCATGCACAGAGAGAGAGAGAGAGAGAGATACCCCTAACAGGGTCTTCATGCTGCAATCCACTCCTGGTCTCAGCCAGCCTGGGTCACAGGCACATGGTGCACTCGGTGTGTACAGGGAGACCTCAGGATGTTAACCTGTGACTCTGCATGGCCTCGGCATCATGGAACATTGTGTGACTCCTGTACCTCTGTGGCTGGCCTATATCAATCTTTAAGCAAAATAGTTTCCATTCAAAGGAAAATCACAGACCACAGTGACGCATTGGCAGAGTAGTAACAATTTACAAGGTATCACGAACTAAAAAAAAACGTGTAAGCACTGCTGAGGGTCTGGGTAAGCTGCATGACATACGCTGAGCTTCCAATGAACTCCCTGGGGACAGGGTCATCTTCGCTAAGAGCTCTGCTGCCAGGAGCAGCCACCAAAACCCAAGCCGTAGGGGCAGCCCCTCCAAGGCCTGTGGGAACCTTCACGTGGCAGGGCATCCAGCTGAGATGCCCTTACCCGGGAGGCTGGTGAAGGAGGGCCCACGTTTCTAACTGTGAAACATGCTCTCTGCACCTCAGCCATCCAATCACTGTGAAGGCTGCCGGTGAGTCCTGCCCTGAGCTCTGATGCCTGCCTAGTCCTGTACCTAGTCCAGACATCTGTGACTGGACAGTGAAAGGCACAAGTGAGTGATTAAGGTGGCTGGGCCCCACATGCCTGACTGTGTGGCTGGGGTCCCAGACCCAGAGGTTTGAGAAACATGCCGGGCATATGTGCAGTGTGTGCTCAAACTTCCAAAAGGAGAGACGGAGAAGGAAGGATTGTGTGGCATGACCACTGCCCTTAGGGGTGGGAGGTGCTTTCTCACTTTTCCTCTCTTTCCGTCTCACTTTGGTGAGTGCATGCATCCTTTAACAAATTAAAAAATAAATTAAAAAAAAAAAACTGCAGAGAAAAGAAATGGAGGAGGTACAGTGAGGCCTATCATCCAGTATCAACCATATGGCTAGTGGTGAGGGGGTAAAAGAATCAATTAGACCAACGGGCAGTGATGAGGGCTGATGGTCAGAGAGATTTGCCTGGCTAAGCAGCTTTACAGGCATTATCTCATCACTTCACTCAATAACCTTGCAACACAGGCTGTGTGTGTATGTGCACACACGTGCACGCTCATCTCCTTTAACAGATGGGAAACTGAGGCATTGGTTGGCAAAATAGCTGGATATGCACTTGAGCCCAGGCCTGCCCATCTCCAGTCTGGTGATAACCAGTCTGGACTCCCTAATGGCCAGCCTCAGTCAGCGACTGACCTTCGTTCCTCCCATCTGTGCTGCAGGAAGAGACGGGGTGTGAGGTTGAGATTCTAGGCTCCAAATCCTGCCAGAAGGCCAGGGAAGTGCAAATTACACTTGCCCTAGGATTGTCCTCTAGAAACTTACATAGTGGATTGGCTGACTGTGCCTCCTCCCCTGACAGAAATCCTCTCTACTAAGGTGCTCCTTACTCCAACCCAGGGTCACCTGAGGTGATCATCCTGCAGATGAGAAAGTACAGGGCCGTTTCTGAGGGGCTTCCTCAGGGTGGATGAGGCTTTTGTTGAATTCTGGGAAAAAAATGCTCAGAGGGCCTGAGTTGGAGGTGAAGGGAAGGCCACAGGTCACAGCCATGGCAGGCAATCAGGGCAGGCCCACTGGCTGCAGTAGCCTTGCTCTCGTCTCTGCTGCTGTGCCCCAGCAGGTCTCACAGGAACTGCGTCCCCAGAGCTCACCAGAACGTGGGTCTAAGGTCACCATGTTATATGACCTATGCCAATCTGTGAGGGCTAAACATGTTACTTTCCATGAGGAGAAAAATCTGAAAGTAGTAACACCTTTAAGTCTTTTCCTTTTCCTAAAGGCTGATTTCAGGATTTAGGACTCAAAGGACTGACTGCTTTCCAGGCTTATCTTTTTTTTTTTCTTTTTTGAGAGGTTTTTGCTATAGGGCATGTGTGCTTGCCAGACAGAGAGACAGAAAGTGAGAAATCACCCCCCAGGGGAGATGGCCACGCCACAATCCCTTCTCCTCCATTTTTCTTTCGGGATCTTGGGCATGCACACACATGCACCCGGTGTGAGTTTAAACCACTGGATCCAGGACTTGAATCACAGTCAGCTACATGGGAGTCCAGCAACACAGTCATTACACCAACTGCTGGTCCCTCCAGACATATCTTAACCTAGTTTGTGTGAAGCTGGTCGCTCCAGATCAGACACAGCCCAGGTCGAGGAGCGGCGGCACTGAGGCGGAGTCTGGAGGGAGTCAGACTAGGTGTGCCAAGTCCAGGTCTCTGTCTAGGCCCAGCAGTGCCTCACCGACAAGCAGGGACAGTGAGGAATGGCCCCCAGGGAGGCCCCTTACCTTTTTGGTGAGTGAATCATCTGAGTCTGATGGCATTCGAGTGGAGACGTGGAAGATCACTTCCACGGTCGAGGTAGCATAGTAAGGGGCGGTCTGCCCGGTGCTGCCATTGCGCTGGAGGCCGCCCATGAACCCGCAGTGGGTGGAGAGGTCCACCTGAGGAGGGCCACAGAGGGGACAACAAGTGAGGGTCGAAAGGAGCCGTCCTTGTTCACAAAGCAGGAACATGTACTACGAAATTAGGCAAGGTGAAAATATTAAAGAAATAAAGAATGTCAAAGTGTTCCATGATCCTATCAACTAAAGAGTGCCACTATCAAAATATTGGTGTAAATTTCCAATTTTTTCCCTCGTAAGTATGTGTGTATGAATGTTTGTGTATGCATGTATGTGTATTTATGCATGCATGCACATACATGCACACATGTAGTATATCTACATACACAGCTTCCAAATGTGTGGAGTGTTCTGCTTTCTCTCACAAGAAGGAACACTCAAAGCAACGGTCCTTTAACGATGTAAAGGCAAGGGGCAGAGATGTTACACAACTTTTTGTTTGTCTGCACGCACTGACAAGAGAGACGGGGGTGTGGGCAGTGCGAAACCACTCCTCAGGGGGATGGCCAAGCTACAGTCCCCTCTCTTCTATTCTCCTCTTGGGATTTTGGGCATACTGGCACATGCATAATGTGATTTTCAAGCCTCTGAGTCCAGGACTTGAACCACACAGTTGGCCATGGGGGATCCCGCTATCTTAACCTCCATGCTATCTACTGGCCCAGAATCACACAACTTTTAACAGGCATTACTAAGCTGCCTTTCAAAAAAATGTTGTGGGGCCAACACGTTGCACAGTGGCTAAAGCACTAGACTCCCACATTGCCAACTATAGTTTCAAGCTGCCCCAGACCTGGCAGCTTGAAAATCACACCAGGCACATGTGCATGTGTGCCCCAAATCCCTGGTGAATGGAGGAGATTGAATTTGGCATGGTCTTATCCCTCAGGGGTGATTTCTCACTTGCCCATTCTCTGTCCCTCTCTGGTGAGCCCATGTAAATGATGACAAAAACCTAAAAAAATAAAGGGTTGTTACAGCTCGGGACCAGCAGTTAGCGTAATGGCTATGTCGTTGGACTCCCACGTAGTTGACCGCAGTTCGCGTCCTGGACCTGGTGGCTTAAAACTCAACGCCGGGTGCGTGTGCTTGCGTGCCCAAGATCCCGAGAGGAGTACGGAGGAGAAGGGATTGTGGCATGGCCATCCCCCCTGGGGGGTGAGTTCTCACTTTCTGACTCTCTGTCTCTCTCTGTCTGGCAAGCACACATGCCCTATGGCAAAAACCTCTCAAAATAAAAAGAAGGAAAGAAAAAAAAGGGTTGTTATAGCTTATACCATTGCCAAAGTCTATGAGTCATAATTCATTTTAAAGTTATAGTGTGAATGTTCATTTCTTAGTGTCTAAATCTACTTTTTGATGTCATAAACTAGTATTTTTTCAGTAAAGGACTTATTCTAATATACAAGAAAGAAGAATTTCTTCCAAGCACAATACAATCAACATATACTCTAAACTAATGTTTCGTCTTTTTCTTAACACTCTAATAGAAAATATACGGTTGAAGAATTTGGCCTGGCTACTGTAGCACGCACGGGACTCTGCTGTTCGGCAGGCTGAGGCCACGTGCAGTGTCAGGGTTTGGTTCCCAGTCAACCTGGAGGAGCTGAGTGCCGTGGTGCAAGTCAGGAGGCTGTGGCAGGAAGATTTTGCGCTCATAGCCAGTGTGGACTACACGGTAATAACCTGTCTAACAGAGACAGGTATGTGAGGCATACCTTTAGTCCAAGCTGCTTGGGAGGCTGAGGCAGGAGAATTGTGATATGGCCAGGCCCGTGTAAAAAAGACATCACACATGTACATACACACACACACAGACCAACATTTTGAAACTGAGTAGTAAATATATTCTGTGATGTGTAAGAAGTACTTTATTAGTAAGAACAAGATTTATTAGAAGTAAAGTAATCCTTATTGGGGGTTGTTATTCACTTACTTCTTCTATGGGTGAGAGGTAGGGGAGGGACGGAGAGGGAGAGATAATGCCCCTAACAGGGTTCCAGGGCTGTGATCCACCCTCAGGCTTCAGCCAGACCCAAACCATAGGCAGATGTGAGCCCAACATAATCAGGGAGGACTCTGGACTTGAACTGGGAACCTCTGCATATAAGACTGCAAGGCAGAGCATTGTGTTTTAGGCTGTGCCACCATCTTGCTCCAAACATATCATAACTATTAGACTGAAACCTTCATTTATTTATTTATTTGGAGAGGTTTTTGCTATAGGGCACATGGGCTTGCCAGAAAGACAGAGACAGAAAGTGAGAAATTACCCCCAGGGGGGTGTGTGAGGGGGGGAGAGGTGGCCACGCCACAATCCCTTTTTCTCCATTTTCCTCTGGAGATCTTGCGCATGCACACACATGCACCTGGTGTGAGTTTAAGCCACTGGGTCCGGGACTCGAACTGTGGTCAACTACTTGGGAGTCCAGCGACATAGCCATTACGCCAACTGCTGGTCCCCTAAAACTTTCCTGACTTTCTAAAAGGTATACAGTCTTGGCCTGGATGAGCTCATACCCTGTCCCCGTCTCTATACCAGCCCTTTCACTAACACTGAACTCTCAGAGACAAACTTTGCTGATGTATCTCAAAAATTTCCCACTGCGTAGAAAACCAAGAAACAGAAACAAACCTAAGAAAAAGTAAGAAAATAATTTTCGATGTATTGATTTTCATAAAAAAGGATTCATGGAATTGTTTCATGGCCAGAACACAGGGATTGCTTCCTTTAAAATGATATTCCTGAGAAACAGAAGGTATGTGTCATAACTTGTCACATGCACACTCATCTTCTCTTATTATACACTATTTATGGCTGGGTGAGCCCATCATTTGACTGTTCAGGTTCTGATTAAAAAGCAAAATGATTAAGAGGAAAGTGAATGGAAAACAGAATTCATGTATGAGGTACTGAAAAGCAAGTAACAGAAGCTATCAAATTTAATACACTAGTCAGAATTTTGTTTTTTGTTTTTTGTTTTTTTTTTGAGAGATTTTTCACTGTAGGGCGCGTGCGCTCGCCAGACAGACAGAGAGAGACATAGAGACAGAAAGTGAGAAATCACCCCCCAGGGAGGATGGTCACACTGCAATCCCTTCTCCTTCATTCTCCTCTCGGGATCTTGGGCACGCATGCACACGCGCCCGGCGTGAGTTTTAAGCCACCGGGTCCGGGACACGAACCGCAGTCGACTACATGGGAGTCCAGCGACATAGCCATTACGCTAACTGCTGGTTCCCGTCAGAATTTTATCTAAGCTATATTTGAATGTAAAAATATACATAAGAATGTATGCAACGAGATCATCAAGTAGCACTGAGGTTAAGGTGCTAGACCCCACATAGTCAACTGGATTGTTCAAATCCTGGACCTGATGGCTTGAAAATCATGCCAGGCATCTATGCATGTGTGCCCAAAATCCTGAAGGGAGACTGGAGGAGAAGGGACTGCAGTGTGGCCATCCTCATTGGGGGATGATTTCTCACTTTTATTTTCTCTCTTTTTCTCTCTCTCTGTCTCTGGTGAGCACACGTACCTATAGTAAATAAATAAATAAATAAATAAATAAACCAAAACATATGTAATCAATGCCTAATTTACACAAATATTTATTTCTTTTTTTTTTTTTTTTTTTTTTATAGGGGGGGTGCGCTCGCCAGACACAGC